ACTGTAGCAACGCCCTGCGACTGTGTGTGTGTGTGGAAACTAGGACATAAGCGACTATTGAAGCAAGGTGGGAGTGGGCCAAAAATTGGTGATTGAAAACGAGGGGATAAAAATAAAGTTGAAGAGGGACGATACGAAGGAAAAAGCCCGAGAGGTTAATAAGAAGGAGAGGCCTAGGCACTAGCACCCTTATTCTTATCCATTCTGCTCGATGCGGCAGATAGGGCGCCGTCGATTATCCTCTGCGATGGCCAGAGCATCAAGAAATTGTTTAAGGAGTGGTTCATTATATTACGTGTGCAGGATACTGTCAGGTTGCCCAGGCCTGGTTGGAAAACTTTACTGCAAGGCAGCGCGGTTTTGGCACTGAACTACTGAGGGTCTGTTTTTAGACGGAAGAGAGACCTCCACTACAACCCCTAACCTGGAGTGTCTGGAGACTGAGTTTGTCTGGCTTCTAACCATTGACCAATCTGGTATGATTAGCTCTGAAGGTGCCAGCAGCTTGTGCCACTAAGCCATGGGTAACCGCGACGGAGCTGCAAGACTGACAGTTGATTATGATATAACGCGGTTCATCCTCCACCGCCACGTCAGTTACAGAGAACTGGTGCAGAGAACTGATTGGCCCCAGAGCTACGACTCCGCATTGCGACTGTGTACGACGCATCACTTAAAAGCTGTACCACGGACTTTTGATTGTTAATGAGTAGCGGGGATCACTACCCAATACTAATCGTTAATAATCACTTGTTACGCTCTCGGACGGGGAATCTGATGCGTTGATTTAGCTAAACCGATATCACTAGTGAAGTACTTTCTTATTGGGTAGTCGCTTTTGCCATCTTCACCCCAGAGGTATTTGGAGCCTGTTTCTTTGAACAGCTCCCGCCACTTATTCTAATGCTTAGAAGTACAATTAGTGGGGTTATTGCTAACGTTATCAAAGCTCAACAGTGTTTTTTCTAGAAATTGGCGCATTTCGTCGGACCCGGTTTCTAAGTCGAAACCCCACTGACACTAACGGCCGCTTCTCTTGCCTGCGCCAACTATAAACCGTATATCAGTAGCACGACCTTTCCACAGGAATAGTCGCGTCATGTTGCCTAGTACTTTTTCAAATACAGAATGCCTTTTAATCGATCGCATCGCTATCTTCTATGGGCGGCGTGCTTCAGTCCTGTGCTGTGAATGTGGGTCGCCCACCTCGCTTCCGACCCTGCCCTAGTGCGAACTGGAATATCGCTCATTCTTCCGGTTTCTGTGAATCTCACGATTTCGTTGTTCCTTATTGATCAGTTGTGCTTATACTCCGTGAATTAGCAATACCAATCCTATTGCTCTATTGTTTATCTCTGACAGATGCCATGAACAAATCGTATGTGGACTGGAATGACTTCCAAAGAGTCACTTCAAAGAGTGCTTTGACTCCTTTGTTTACTTATCCTAGTGTCCAAATAATTCACTTATTTCTGATATTTTGCCTAGTTGGATTGTTGCATGGAGCTACGTTGTGTCGGTTGATAATTGCAAGTGTTCCTTGCATCATGGGGCGCGGCCTTACTGAGATATCGTGGACCGACCTGAAGCGCTGGTGGGTGACGATGGTATCTAAGTCGGAGTAGGTGAACAGTATTGAAAACTGCCTTGCACTTTTCTCTATTCTTCCGATGCATTTGTACGAGAAAATTCAGTGTAGTGGTACACTCTCTGAAGACATGCACATTCACTTGAACTTCGTGGTAAATACTCCCAGAATCAATTCTGCCCAACAACTGTGTTTGAATCACTTGCAAGTATATTTCTTTTCATTTGAGAGGCTGCGTCTATATTGGACACAGATTATCTATGTATAGGTAATACCGTGCTCCTACATGAGCATTACGAAGTTATGGCGAACAAATAAAAATAACGAGATATTCTTCGACGGTACGAGGCACAGTCTAGCTGCATGGTACAATCATTATGTTCAGTGGACTCGCATGGAATCTATTTTTTCGTGTTTTCTAGAGCCGGTTTCAAACTATTTTTTGGCGGGAATGGCTAATTGGTTCAATGTCTTTCGGGAAGATTCAGAGATTGTCAAAAATAGTAACTGTAGATACATCCAAATCTACGAGTGATGTAATATATTTCATCATAACTGCCACTGCCGGCAAACCTCGACACCAGTCGACATTGCTCATTTCGATCCAGTTCGGTTTATCAGTTCTGAGCCGTACACCGAGGTACGGTGTACGGTGGGCCTTCCATTTCGCATCGTTCGCGAAGCGGATTTAAGGTGTTGTTTTCTGACCTCTACGATGCACACATTTGTGTCAACCAGGTGCTTAGTGCGAAGATCACCTTATGTATAGTCATGAACTAGTTATCTGCGTCACGCGCCACTTATCATTTATGTGTTCAGCAGGTCATTCAGATTAGTTCATCTGCTCTGTGTGTGGTCAGGTCGAATCAAGTTGAAAGGTGTACCGATTTAATACATTCTCCAAATTCCCAGTTCTTCTTTCAGTAACCAGCATCGTTTTGTTGACCTTTCTCTTCCTGTTTTCGGCAGTTATATAGCGCCACCTTGTGTGATCCTTGTCTCTCCTGTTGCTTCTTAGAACCCATATATTTGGTTCCTAACTATACTTTTGATTTGCAAGGCACCTAACCTGCCTGCAGTTAACTTGGCTATTTATATCCTTTTAATCGTTCGATACCTCGGTGAAGCTGAGGCCCAACATAGGTATACGTTATCCCACTCAATTCGGAACCCTAACGGCTACAACATTACCGCACCTCTCACTGTGCATATTTTCGACCTGCGCTCTGGCACTTCTCGGATCCTAGGGGCTTTCAGGTTTTACGTTTGCCACCTTTCGTTGGCAACGTGCGGACAAAGCGCATGCGTGTCTTTCAAGTCTGACTGACCCGCGAATTCGTTATTTTGATTGTCGCATCGGGGTGCATGTTGTTGCATTCCGTTTGATGCATGGATTTATGGGATCCCTTACGTTACAAGCGTGTCCTCATGGATCTTAGACTCCATTTTATGAAGCTAAACGTATGAAAAGCGTCACGCACATGACTAACGGGTATGTAGAGCCTGGACGGAAATTAGTTAATCTCTAAAATCCCTTTTCCTACGCCAGCTGCACAAACGAACGTCTGCGGCACCTCTATGATGGCATGACTATCTAGATGCAGTCTGAATCAAATTGCAGCGCCCATGAAATATTACAGCCTTTGACTTGAGTAAAACAAATCAAAGAATAGACGACAGTTCGCTACTACGATTCCGTTATTCAGTGTATACGTTTTTTGCTCTAAGGTAATCAGTCTTACCTCGAATGGAATGGCTGCTTGGGTTTTGCTTACTATGACTACGTAGTCATAATGTAAGGGGATCGAATCAATTTACAGGGGTCTTTTGTAAACCGTTTGTTGTGTCTTAACACAGTCAAAGCGTTCACTTCCTTTCCTCAGATAACTTTTTCAGTACTAGATTACTGTTTTTCACTAACGAATCTTGTCTATTGCAGTCTAGCTAAACTGCAATCTTCCACTATCAGCCGGATTCTTGTTTCACTCAGGAATAGGAAAGCAAATGTCCGTTACACGCGAGTTTTGTTCACTTATTTCACTTAACTCTCAGAATAGAAGCTTAATGGATCCTTGTACCATTGTCCACATTTATACTTATAATAGTACTACCGAATACATTAGCGGTACGGCATAGCCCTGTGCTGCCGCTACGTGACCACCAATGGTTACGTACGGGCTGAAATACCACTACCTAACCCGTACTTACGCAGGCTCGAATCGGCGACTCGTTGATGACTAGTCAGTCACATGAACCGCTTTACCACCGCGCAATGATCTAAACCACCTCGAGCTCGAAGTTGATGGATCGCAAGTTCTAGCTCCTCATCGGGTGGATGGAATTCGAACTGCTGATGTGGCATATAGTCCGAAACATCTATCTAGCATGTTTATGGATGCGCAGCGGCTGTTTGTCTGATTGTTGCCGCAACGAATCTCTTTTTATTTGATAAAAATAGCCAATTTGGAAGAGTCCAGAAGGGAAGATGGGCGAACTGTTGGACAGAAAATCAAACAAAATGAAGTCGAAAGTAGGGTTGTTGTATGGATGAATTCACAGGCAGAAGCAAAATAGCCGGGATGCAATGACGCGATTTACCTTGCGGCTTTGCATTGCCAGAAATCGCTTGTTACCATCGGTGTTGTGATGCGCAGAAGCATCAATTAATCACCTGGGATGATAGAAATTCGTCAAGATTCAAAGAGTGTATATACATTGTATGTATAAATATGCACGTAAATATCTCTCGCGAACCATCTTCTGCTGGCATCGTCTTGGCAATTTAATTTGCTTTTTCACTTTGTGTTTATGCAAATGCCTCGCACTTGGTTTACTTAGTAGGAGGTGAATAGGCAGCACCATTGGTACTGACAGAGTGAACATTTCTACCCCATCGACGGCAATTAGAAGTGTCATGAACACACGTTTCTCATTGCCACTCTCGGATTTGAGTCTCATCCCATCATTTGGGTGCTGAATTTAAGCCTTGTGATTTAAAAAGCTTAACCAGTTGGCACTGGATCCTGGGATTCTCAGGGCTTTAGAACCCATTGATCCCTCAATCGGTATTAGGGTTACACTGCATAACCTTGTTCAGGTATGCGACCATCTGTGCCTACGATATAGCTTATAGTTCCGCTATACTTATGTCGTGGTCTGGGCCCGTGAATTACACTTCCTTCTCGACTGCCTGAGTCTTTTGAAGTGTATGTAAACGAATTCCTTCCTTGTGCTTCATAGAGCGTTCAACTACAAAGGCAGTCGGTATCCCTGGTGGTAAATTCCTTCGTCGCTTATGACATCAGCTTGCCCATATTTTAAACCGCACATTCAATCAATCAAGTTTGTATGAAAATATGGATAGCACTCGACCAGAGTTTCTATCACTTCTTTGGCCACTCTCTGGTTTCAGTTTGATTGTCAACTGGCGGTTCTCTCGTGGCTGTGAAGAGCAAATGGAAGCGTTCTTCAAGGGATTCGCTGACGTTTTCCCTCTCGAGTGGCTCCAGTACTTTGACGAACGAGAGCTTGAAGTGAGTTGCTTATTTCTCATTTTTCGCGCATCCATGGATTTCTTCACGTACGTACAGTCTGCTCCGTCTTGTGCTATCACAACAGCCCGTCGAACCTTTGTTGGATTAGCACTGAAAACTGCTGTAGTGCATGAGTAGTGGTGCATATATCTGGGACCCCCACTTTGTCTACCTGACTGTGGCATCGGTTGATCCGGCGGATAGAGTGGTTGTACTCGGGATACCCGTTTTGGGGATTGGTATCACATCTATCCTACTTCATCCCGGCTTAGTTCATTTTTAGCATCCTGTTGTTGTCCCACCTCCACTCGTCTTTCGTTTAAATTTACAACCCCTGATCGCCGTCATGTTAAACCTTGCACTTTTCCCCCACGCACTGCCATCTGGTAGTAGTGCGTTTATCACCTCTGGGGTCTCGATATTTGGCTTCTTGGTTTCCTCCGGCATTCACGCAAACAAGTGTGGATACATGCGGCATAGGTTGTCCGATTAACCCTACGTGGGAGCATATGAGATCTTCGTGTGCTTTTTACAATGCTTTAGCTTAATTAGTGAGTTGTATGTATTCCCGACACGTGCACGATGTTCCTGTACTTCACTCTGGTTTTTGTTGAGTCAAAATTACGTTCCTTATCTCCATACGAGTACACACACTTTAACTGCGCTCGTCCCTTATCCCTCTGATATACCCTACATCATCCCTTCCATTATCCTTTTCGGAAGCACGGCGATGTGTGTGTATCGATACCAAACCTGATCGGAAACACCTGGGTTGAATGAAAAGTTTTGAGCCATAAAAAAACAAACGAGACACAGAATCTTCGATGGTTCTATTTTTCAACATAATCAAACTCAAGCGCAACAAATTTGCCCCAAAAATGTTGAGTCGCCTTTATTCCATTGGAAAAAATTTCAGTTTGGGACTCTAAAAACGCTTCTGTGGCTTCAATGACGTCAATGTCGTCGGGAAAATGTTTGGAAACCATAGCGTTTTTCTGATTTGGAAATATGTGGAAGTCAGAGGGAGCCGGATTTAGGGAATTGAGTGGGTGGGGAAGAAACTGGAAGCCGCAGTTGCGGATTGTTTTGGACTGGAACATTGTCGTTGTGAAAAATTACTCATCTCATCAGTATTTCTGATCTCTTCTCTAATTTTCTTTCTGAGACCTTTCAGAATCTCACAATAATACTTTCCGGTGATGGTATGGTCTCTTTCAAGAAAATCACTCATCACCACACCTCGGGAATCAAAAAAACGGATGCCATCCTTGCCACTTGACGCTGTGACCTTAGTTATCTTTGGCGTAGGAGCTAAAACACGCTTCCACTTCTTTGATTGTTCTTTTCTTTCTGGTTAAAACTGGTGAACTCAACACTCATCCGTAGTGATGAATCGTGCAAGAAAATCATCGGCATCTGCCTCAAGCAGTGCCAAATTGTTTTTCGACAGCACATTTCGCATGCGTTTGTGCTCAGGAGTCAGAAGACATGGCACCCATCGAGCAGAAAATCTTGAATAGCCTAGCACCTTCGCCAGAGTATTATCTGCTCGCTCCTGGGAGATGCTCAACGTCTCTGCTACCTGACGAGTTGTTAGTCGGTGACGTTGCATGATAATATCCATTGCTAGGCCATTTTATTCGGTGGTGGTAGTTGGTGGTCTCCCTGACCCTGGTTCGTCTTTAGTACTTCCTCTGCCACGTTTAAACTGGCATATGAAGGGGAATTGCATGCAGTGTATCGAGCTTATCTCGGTGGATTTTAGATGGTGACATACCTTTGCAATAGAAATATTTTTCACTACACGATGCTCCAATTTCTCCATTTTCACCAAATTGCAGACCATGTTTAATTCAAGAATCTGCTGAAATGCATATAAAAGGAATAGAACTATGGATCTGCATAAAAGGAATAAAGAAAAGTGGTGGCTTATAAAAGACATTATTTGACTCGGGTGGCCATTTGATTGCTGTGCGAGGCTCAAAACTTTTCATTCAACCCACGTATGTCGTTATGATCAGGCCTTATCTTTTTGGGTAAAGGTCGCATGACAGACCTAATGTTCGCCTTTAGTAGTATGAATCAACATATCCCTGCTGATGCGCGCTCCATCCCGAAACTAAAATAGAGCAATTTCAGGTAGTTACCGAACTATCTGTGATTAATCCACCTTCTCGCCAGTGATTGCACGCACTCTGGTATGCTTACGTAGTTACCACAGGTCAAATTGATGTGCATAGTCTCAGTAACCAAACGTCTGCAGTCCGTTTGATAAAATCAGTTAGAGAAAATGCAAGGAAACACAGCAACGACAATTTCTTCGTACACGCGGTTTGTGCTCCAATCGATTGCAATCCCGATAATGCCGTGGACACCCGCTGCGAGCCGTGCAAGGTGTTTCTCACTACTGTCATCTCAACTGTAGTTATTGTTACCGGTGATATATGCATGCGCACGTAGCTAGTCTAAGCTCAGATTGCTGGGGTGTTTGGCCATATTTCTAAGCACAAAAGACAATCGCGAGCGCATTTTACAACGGGGCATCTCATGTTTTTGCAGCATCGCCTTCAGATACCCTGGGCATCGATGGACCACGGTGTCCTCCGACAATTAATAATCGATGAACCCATGAGGTTCAGATGACATATCTCCATTCTTAGCATCTTCTCATGTCGGGACTCGGGTTTCGACTGTAATCCTACACTATTTGACTACCGATTCTTCATGTACCCTCCCAGGAAGTGTCGAAGACGATCTCGTGGATTGATAATCATGCTGTAGTAGCCTTTTGCTAGATAGACATACCAGGGCGCGGTGTGTTGTATTTTTCCTTACTTCTTCAAAGGAAACTTCGCTTCAATGAAATGCTCATTCTTCCGAAATGCATGGAACGGGAGATCTTTGTTCTACCGGTCGTTAACACATCGGACACTGAATATCCGACAGGTCAATGAATCGGATAGGATTCAATAATCCATACTAGCACTGAACATACCACCACCTAATGGGTTAGCAAACGCGAGCTAGAACGGAACGTGCAAACTTGGTGTATTGAAAAATTTCATGAAGTTGTGGGCACTGTTAAGATTGAGAGACGCCTGACACGATTGTCACTGGCACGGTTTGAGCACGCCGTTGATAACGGCTTGGAACGCTGGCCGATCGATCGGATTTGCGCTGACGTGCTGGCGTTAACTTAGCCGGGGGTACGCGCTGGTTGGGCGGAAATCGCGCTAGCGCGAGAACGTTCCTAGCCACACGTATTCGGGTAGACGCTGAGACCTCGTAATGGACGAGGCTACGCACACGAGAGGGGGTGACGGTAGACATGCGCTAGTGACTTAGACACGAATGCTGCCCGGCTATCGACGCACACAAAAACCACGCGACCGAACCGACTCCCAACTAACGACGAAGAGAAAACAAGACAAGTGGTCCTCTGAAGGCTCTTTTACGACCAACAAAGGGCGAATCATAGCCAATACTACGGGTCATTGAGTTAGTGAAAATAGCTACTGCGAAGGGGTGGTAGTTTGTAAAACGTGTGCAGTTGTGCCGCGTCTCGGGGTGGCTGAAATTTGCTACTTCGGAAGGAGAAATTGAACTCCGCTTTCCACAGCAATTACGCCGGAGTTTGTGGCGCGTTTTTGCCGGGATATTCGACGGGCCCGCAACAGGCACATGAGTGGCGACTAATTATTGCGAACTCAACTGCCCCACGATGATGAGGTATTCAGCAGAAAATCTTGCATCGTTGGGTGGACCACTATCTGGAGCAGTTTACTTGGCTCCTTACAGCCGAGCCGCTACTTCCTCACGCGGCGCCGATGGAATCGTGGTCAGTAAGCTTAGATGTTCCATGTGAGGCTGGGGTCCTAAACGTCGATCCGGATTATCTCGCGCCATCACTTTCTACACTTGATGGCACTCCGTGCAAACAATTAGCTTGAGAGCACGGGACGACTTGAGCGAATTTGTTTTCGTGTTCATATCTTAGATGATCAATTTTACTCCATTAGTGACGGTTATCTGTCTCCGTATTCGACTGTCGTCTTACTACGGAATTGGAATCCCGGAAGAGCAGTTAGTTATTCGCCTTGCTCGGGATTATATAGATTATACATTTATTTCGCGACAAGCGCTAAAGGAGCATCCTGTGTACCGCAAATTGTGAATTTATGAGCATTTCTCGAGCCGCATTCGATTGAATCAGCGACTGCATCCGTAGCGAATTGTCAGGCGAGTTTCCGACTGCATGTGATGTTTGACAGGGCTGTCCTATTTTCTCAGTTTTGCTTGTTCATCATGCATTCCACTATACTGCCTTTCATCATGAAATCCCACGGCAATTACTGAGGTAATTAGCATAGGGGACTGGTCGATCCGGATTATGTACACCATATCGCTTTGCCATTTAAACGTCGTGAGGCGGCATAATCATCCCCGGACACACTCTGGCATGCACTTTGAAGCTTCAATGTGCTTTTTCAGGGTCAACAGCCACTTGATAACCCATTGATTCCTGACGACGAAGAGCTAGGGATGGTTTGTCAATTTTGTAGCTGGATTATCAACTATAGGCGACTAGTGGCTGATGTCAGTTTGTCTATTGCGAAAGTTAGAACTGCGTTTGCTAATCTCTGACACTTTTGGTACACTTCACATGAGTCATTCTCTTCCCTATTAGTGGGGTCCTTTGGATTGCAGCATAGCCAGGTGTCAATACAAAGTTCTGCTCAACTGCTGTCGGTCTTTCGAAGGCAAGAAAGAACTGATCGCTTCCAATTTATTGGTCACTGTTTCCATCTCATTCTTCACGATCAATCGCTTCTCAGTCACTTATCTCTATGAGACCAAGAATACTATCTGCACTCCATGGGTGCACGTAAACTTGATAATTGTGTAAAGCTTCGTTGCTAGCATGCTCGAATTAGTAGTTCATTTGCTTGCATTGCCGCACGCAACTAACTGCTGTTTCGTGTGCGTGGTCACTTCATGTTCGGCAAGTCTATACCCTAGAAAATGGTTCTCTACAATACTGTTTTGAACCGAATGGTTCAATCACCTCGTCATAAGTAAATGAGTTTTGTTTGTGGGTTAAAGCACTGAGCTGTCTCAGCCCCTTTGATCTAAGTCCA